TTCTAACGCCACTTCTTCAAAATAGACTCGCCCAGGCTGAAAACTGACTTCTGCGCATGGGCCACGAAGTTTTAATCACACTGTATGTGTGTGCCCGCACATGGTATTTTGTGGAAGAGCCACACTGAAGGGGCCAAAGAGCCGCATGTAGCTCGCGAGCCGCGGTTTGCCAACCACTGGTATAAGGGATTCAACATGTGAGTGGGGGGAGATAAACATTTAGTCCATAGCATACATGTGAATAATGTGAATATGTGTATATACTAATACACATATAGAGATACGTAAATAATAAGAATGGCAGAAAATTTCTTTGGATTAGAAAGTGTTATTTTATTAATGTGTGTTCTCTTTGCACAGGGCTTATAATTGTTAGTACTCAACAAAACTAACTTAATTATTTGCAAATATTTCTCAGAATCTAACTCAATTCTGCTTTTAAATTTTAGTTTAAAAACTTTAGCCCTAACCAGTTTGGCTCAGGTAGAGCATTGGCCTGTGGACTGAAGGGTCCCAGGCATGTCTAACATTTCCTTCCTCAAGGATTTTTGGCACTGAATTCTTTCAGAGAAAAGTGGGCACAGGGTCTCTTCTATAACTGCTTCCTGCTGAAAGAAGGGAGTGTTTTCCTTCAGAGCCAAAAATCCTTGCTCTCTGTCAGAGGGACAACAATGAAGCCTGGGCACAAAAGGAGTTTGTGATGGTGTCTAGGGGAGGGGGGGGCGGTGTATTTCCTGAGTATAAGTAGGGCTTGTAACCTGGTGGAGACAGACTGTTTTATAAGTTTTAGTATTATTGGGGCAAAAGCTAGAACAGCAAGAATTATGACAAATGGTCTGGTGGAAGGAAAGAAACAATAGTTTGGAGGTTTGAAGCCAAATATTTAAGAAAACTAGAAAAAAAGGTCAGGATTTAGTTTAGTTTAGTTCATGAGTGAAACATAAAACTTTGAAGATAATGAACTGGAGTCTAATAATATCCACAACTGCATATACAGAGAGAGGGTTGAGACCAAAGGGTGAAAAAGGCCTGGACATAAGGAATCACTGACCATTTATCATTGTAGTGACAGAAATTATCTAAATCGCACAATGTGTTAAAATTGAAAGTGCCATTTTTAGGTCATTGAGACTCGTTATTTAGTTTATATTGTGGCCAAACAGTGTTACAAAAGAAGATGAGGCGCATGGGCCTCATCTCCCCGCATTGAGATTTTTAAGGAGACAGTCGAGAGGGGTCATTTTAGGGGGTGTGGAGGGAGTGTTGCCCATGAAAAGGAGAATAAGCATGGCCCACAAGAAAGAAAGGGTGAGTGACAGACCACAAGCCCAAAGGTGACTGTGTAGAGCAGGTGTCCCCACCGCTAAATAAACCACCGGGAGAAATGAGCGGCAACCCTCCAGACTGGGCATCCCCAGTCCAGAAGAACCCAAAGCCGAACAGCTGAGGAGACTTCTGGCCTAGCGCTAGGACTTTCGAGAAGAGAGGACTTTTAAGAAGTCAGTGAGAGTATGTGGACAGAAGACTCAAGACGAGGGAAGTTGTGAAATATCACTCACCTGGAGAAGACTGGCTGATGTGTGATGGAGGGTCACAATGGAGCAGGAGATGTTCCTGATCCCATGTCTTTTTGGCTGGTTCAGGAGGGCCCATAGGGAGGGAGGCCTAATTGAGCCTGGTGATTGTGTCACCCGAGTAGGATTTGGAGGTAAGCCCAAGATGAGCTGCCACTAGTTATGGCTCTCTGAGTAGCAGACTTGGGGTGACTGAAGGTGGGGCGATGGCTCCCCTTCCCCATGGAACCCTCCCAGGTTTGGGCACCAAATTTTAGGGTCACTGAAGGAGGTATGCACAAGGCCGAAAGTGGTAAAGAATTAAACATTTAATAAGTCATCTGGAAACTAGATGTGCTGAGCCCCCAAATGGTGTCAGCACCCAGGGACGAGGAGCCAGAGATTTTAAAGGACTCTAGGTGAGCTTATTACGTGGGGAATTCTCTGGGTGGGTCCAGATACTGGGCAAGTCTGGAGCATATGGAATGTGGTCTAAGTAAAAGGGAATGTCAGTTGCGAAGTGATCTAAAGGTCAGTTTCCCAGGGGAGGGGATATCAATTCCATTATTGAATCAGACCTAACATGCCTTAGGTGAAGTCCCTATTACCAGTCCAGTGACCACCACGGCCTACATTCGCATGTAGGATTACTTATCTGAGCAGAGAGATAGTTCATGAGTAAGATTTATTGAGTACTGTTGACATATCTGATACAATAAATATCCATGTGTGCATGCACATGTGCATATAAACAATACCACACGTTGGAAATCGGCTTATTTTAATGGATGGTGATATGTTCTACATGGATATGGAGATCTGACCCATAGTCAGTGACTCAGTTATCTACACTTTTGGGAAGCCTGAACATTTGTAACCTTGATATTTCTGCTCTGAATTATGAAAAAAAAAATGGGAGAAACAAATCATGGTACATATTCAATGACAACACATAGTTAGTCAACATTGTGCAGTTCCAGTTAAAGAAACTACAATATACTAGGTGCTAACTAGCGGCTTTAACTATCTGTCCTCAGTCACTAGATCCAGAGGTTCATGCCTGGCAGGTTTCAAGAGAACCATTCCCAGACAGTTTGGGTAAGTGTGGAGTGGGTCTTGGGGTTCTATATTTTAAATTCTTTTTCTGCATGACTCAAATAAGCAGTAATGTTTACATATCACTGGCCTAGGAAATCAGGATGGTCATTTGGACTCATTTCATTCACTTTTACCTGGTTTGAAGTTCCCAAATAAAGCTTAATCATAGCTGGATCTTTCTGGTGACCAGCCCCTGTCCAGGAGCCCACCAAGAGTTACCTCATTAGAACAAAAGACACTCCTATCACTCAGGAAAATCTAAAGGACAAGGAGCTCTGTGTTAAATGCTCCTATCGCTTAGAAAATTCTGAACCCTAAAAGCTCTTTGTCAGGAACTGTGTCAAAGATCAAATATTAGAACAAAAGATTCTCCTAGTACCCCTATTTGCAAGGTTTTAGAAGCTCTATGTCAGGAACTGTAGACAAAGACCAATTTATATTTCTTATTCTTTCACAGAGCTCATTAACTTTGAGCATTATAAATGAGAATAAACTTAAAATAATGTAAACAGTATTATGGATATGCTACATTTACCTATTTATTTATTAATAATTACTTTCATTTGCTTAATGATTTTACTGTATTCAGAGTACTTCATTAAGAACTTTACTTATATTTAGCTCATTTAATTTTCACACAACCCTATGCTATGACTAAGATATATTTATTATCTTCATGTTACAAATAGAAAACCACGGCATGAAATGTTAACTCCCTCAAGGTCACAGAGCTAAGACGTGACAGGGCCAGGCAGTCTGACTTAGGGCCCACACTTATAAGAAGATGCTGCCTCAATACACACACACACACACACACACACACACACACACACACGCATATACACACATACACACATACACACACATACACACACACACACATACACACACATACACACATACACACACACACATATATACACACATACACACACATACACACACATTACATACCTTACAATTATCTTAGGCACAGAGGCAATTTATTTTACTATGTGCAACTCAGAAGCAGTCTTATATCATCACAAAGCCACTCCCTCCCCACTAAGGATTAATAAACACATCTAGACAGTCTGGCTAGAAGTGAATTTCTGTCTGAGGTCCTGGATCCACCCTCTTTCAATCTATCTTTTCCTTCTGTCCCTGACTTGCACTGTCTGCTTATTGAGCCACATGCTAACTTTTGATGAGTCAGTAGGAGCTTTCAGGTTGCCTCTGCAGTTGTAAGATTTGCAATTCTTACAAAGAAAACTTAGTACGACTGCTACGATTAATTTGTTATTGTGTTTATGGTTACTTTTGATTAAACTCTGTGGGTGAGGGTTAACAAAAGACATTTCCCTTCTGTATGAGGATTTGACCTTTGGTTAATTTTCTAGCTCAGTTTTTCCTGGAAAACTGATATAGAATCTCAACTTTGTTATTCTACAACTTATAGTAAAAATGATCTGAGTGGCAGTTTGCATCTATACTGTATGATCTATGCTTTGTGGAAAGACATAACGTTAGGCATGTGCTGCTGTGCCACATGCATTCTGTAGCTCAGAATCCCCCTCTGCTCTAGAGTACTGCCCAACCCTGAAGGCATTTGAATTTTCAATTCCTAGTAGTCTTCCATCATGGAAGGTATTTTATTATCTGACCTAAAATGGGAGACAGATTTAATGGATCATGCCATCAAAACTGGACCCCAAAAGAAAAAATTTTAAAAAGCAACTCCTCTTATTTTTTTCTTTTTAGACATGTATTTGCTACATCTAATAACTCCATTATCTTGCACATCTAAACAGATAGCATGAACTGTAGAATGGTTAAGAATAGCAAGAACAGATACAAATGGTAATACTAAGAAATTTAGAGTACAATATGTTTAATTTTTTAAAATTTCTTTGACAAATCCCAGATTAATTTAATTACTTTTAATAAAATGTCATGTTCTCGAAGTGAGTTCTCAAGATAAATTCAGAATGAAATAATTAAATACATGTTTTCCAAAGTCATCAAACATGCATAATAAATTATAAATAAGTATAATGTTATGACTAACAAATTCAGCAAAATGATATTGAATAGATCCAGTTTATTCTGACTTCTGAAAACAGAATGTTAAGGGAAAAAAATTCCAAATAATGCCCTGCATTTAAAGAATAATGTAGCTTCATAGTGGGAAAAAATCAGACCCATGCCTTCTTTCAGTTGGTTTAATTCTATATCTCATGTTAGAGCACTGTGTCAATGTAAGAAATGGCCCAAACCTCTAAGGATTCTTACAAGTTTATTTGAGCCAAACTGATCACAATTGCTGGGAAGCAAATCTCAACAAATTGAAAAAATGCTCCAGAGAATGGCAGTTTTGCACCTTATTTTATACATTACAATCAAAGGAGGAGGAAAAAGAGGGTTACATGAAATTCATTAGTGATAGATTAAGGAGTCGAGAGAAGACAAAACAAGGAAACTCTGGGATTGGATGAAAAGTAAAATGAAGAAACACATACTTCTCTTACATTGGTGAGTACAGAATAGTTAATGAACAGTTACAGCACATGGAGATGGTAAGCAGGGAACAAGATAATAGCGAAGGGTCCACGATCTTGCACTCTGGTGGGAGATTGTGCCCTAAGGGATTTTGCAAAATGGGGGAATTACTCAAATATCCCAAGGGTATGTTATCTTAGATGCAAAAAAGACAATAGGCAGGCTTAGTTAAGGTAAAGATTGGCATTTGTCAATGAAGATATCAGCCTAGGACTTGACTACCACCGTAACTCACTTTTATGGGAAGTTTGAATTTCAGACAATCCTATGTGGTTACTGTAGGTCTCTGAGTTTGTAAAGCCATGCAGGCCTCCTCTGAGCTTGTCAGACTTAGCATGTGGCTCCTTTTTTGTCCACACAATGCAACTATTTATCTTAGAAATAGAATTAAAATTACTAAAAAGAATTTCCCTCCAGTATAAATCAGCTCAATACTTATGAACTCCATTTTAATAAGTAAATTTGTTCAATATGAAGATCAAATTCCAATGTTAATTAACATCTTTCTAAAAAACCCTGAATAATAAAATTCAAACAAAGTTTAAATTGTATTTTATATGAACATTAATTTCTATTTTGACAAAGTATGTTCTCATAGTAACTTGCATTTTAATTGGAAGGATAATGATTCTATATAAATAAAATTTTTAGTTGTGGAACATTTGAGCCACTAAAACTTAAACATAAGAGAGAAGTGTGAAGCTTGAGTTGAATTAACTAAGAGAGAAGATGAGTGGCTAGAAGTAAAAATAAAAAGGACCAGAGAGGCAGGCAGGTTGCGCAACTGTGGGACTGGGAGAAGGGGAAAATATTAAACTCTTTCTTTCTGACCAAAATATACTTTCTGGACAGATCCAAGAACACATTGCTATATTTATAACTGCAATCCTTCCCACTATTAAAATTCTGTACTTTCTAATGAGCTTCTTTAGTTCACTGGAACTGAACTGCATTGGTAATGTTATGCCCAGATCTCAAGATCCCCAAAAGTCTACACTAGGAGCCAGTTCGATGCAAATGCAAAGGATCCTTTATTGAGCTAGCTCGCCTCCCCTTCCTGGCCGATGCAGCGACAGGAAGCAGAGTGAGATGGCGTGAGAAACTCAGGGTTTTAATAGGGGGGTGGAGTGAGGGGAGTGGACTGACTGTGGGCCCTGCCGATTGGCCAGGCGCAAGTCAGGTCTTGTTACACAGGATGTGGTCATCTCTATGGCGCGCACGTCCCTTGATTGTCATTGGTTAGTTTAAAATCCCGGGCGTGGCCAGCAGAAGCCTGGGCTTCCGAGAAGAAAGGGGGTCTGAGCACGTGGCTCCTACCCCAACATGGAGGATACCGGCAAGATGGAGGGCGTAGCCTTCGCCCTTTCAGGTAACACATAGTCATATTATCTCCAGATATGCCTAACTCATTGAGTTATATTACAATGGCTAGTGCAACACTATCCACCTATCTCTAAATGTTTAATAACATTGGTTGTTGTTTTTTTAATTTAAAATATAGCTTATGAATAATATTGGTTATAGTATAATTAAATTACAACATATTCTCCATTTTTAGAAAATTCTTTCTAATCATCCTGAACAGAGAGGCAACCAATTTTAAACTAGCAGAGATTCACTAAATTAAATAAAATTAATATAAACAACCCCAAAATATTAGTAGCTTAATATATTAATAGTTTCTCTCTCATATGTCACAGTTAATAAGCATATAGGTCACATGTCATAGTTAACCGCATGTTCGGGGAGGGGTGTGGTGCTGCTCTGCTTCACATAATCATTTAGGGACCCAGGAGCTTCCCATATAGTGATCAAACTATCTTCCAGGAGTCTATTTTTATAAAAGCAGTGTATGCATTCTATTCCTTTAAAAAATTCCCTAAAGCTCTCAGACTCTAATTCCATTCCATATAAAGTATTAAGATTGCATTTCTCTTAAAAAGAAAAAGAAATTGCTGAATCTAAATGAGCCAGAAAAACTTTAATAGAAAATTTCTTTCTAGAGTAACTTTTCAGCATGCAAATATGATAATCATAGGCATAAATGTATAAAACTATAGTTTACATTTTTATAGCAATTTACCTTTAAGGGGTAAAAGATAGAGGGCTACAAATCGATAGCTCAAAACTTGCATTCCTTGCAGGAAAGGGACTATATTTCACCATATACAGAGGCTAAAAGTAATTAACTGTATAAAATATAATCACAGTTATTAATGCCTCAAACGTTCTAGCTTTGTAAATCCTACAAAGCTAGTCAAGTCTGATACACTAATATGAATATACAGAGAGCACAGCAATACTTTAACTCACATGGCCCATTTAATGTGAGCTGTGAAATGTGGGTACAGAAGGCCAACTAAAGAGGAGTTAGGTTAGGAAGTATTTTTCCAGCCTCACGAATTAGACAAACCCAGTGTATTTTATTGCCATTTGGTCCCTGCTTCAATTTCAATTGAGACAAAAAATATGATACACAGAAATGAGTACAAGAGTTATTATTATTAACAAAATTTAAAAGAAAATGTTAATAATAATAACTCTTAGAATCTTCAAGCAAATCAGAGATAAGAAGCTGGGTCAACATACAGTTAAATCTTGATGTAATGGACTAATTCAGGTGAGGTGGTGTCCATTTAAAGCCAAAATTCTTTTATATAATAAAGTAGGTTTTCCAAATGCATGTGTTAAAAATTGACAAGTTAGTTTACCTGTTTTTACTTATGTAGACACATTTGTGTAATTAAGTATGTGTTAAAAGTTTAATTACACAGGAAAGTTTTCTACATGTATTACTATAATTTTACATTTGTACTGAACAGATCTAGTAAATGCATGCATCACCAGTCACCTCCAGTAAACAAATGGCTGAGGTGTGGCTTAGCACACGTTGGAACTTCTACCAGCACAAGATAAAACTGCTACAGAAAGTCAAGACACTCAACAACAGAACCAATTACCCCATGGGATGTGGTGTGATCGTATGCTAATCATTCGACAAACATTATTTATGATAGGTGACTCTTGGATTTAAGTATGTAGACTATAGTTGTAGATATGTAATATTTATGGAGGTGAAATTACTACAGTTTTTTTCGACATATGACCTATTCACTAAAATTTGTTAAAAATAACAGTGAATTAATATTTTAAAAATCCCCTGTTAATTTAATTATAAGTAAATCTTTGTTAAAAGCATTTCAAAATTAACAGGGTGTTAATTTTCACATATGACATACGGACCAGAAATTTTGTCCCTTAAATCCAAAGTCCATTAACTCTGAGGTCCACAAAATGGAGGGTTTTCTGTAAGAAGAATGGGTTTCTGAAAAGACTCATTGGTGGAAATCCCCACCCTCCCCCACGAGGGATGGGATAAATGTGGGAGGTGCTAATGAAAAGAGTTAAAGCAGAATTAGGTAGATAAGAGTAAGGGATGGAAGAAGGAGGAATTGTGGAGCTAGGTGAAACCACAAAATGTTTTGCAGAAAAATAGGATGGATAGCAGAAAAATAGGATAGCAGAAAAACAGATTGTTTTGAAACAAGGATGTTCTTCTTGCAAGTGCAAAATAAAATGTTGCCAAAAGGCCAGGAACCAATCAGAGAGCTGTGCAGATAGACAAAGAGCTGCCCTTTAGCAGATATAAGGGTAAGAGCAGAATGCGTGGGGACAACCCATTTGAATTCCCTCCTTGAGGGGGGAGCCTGTGTTTGTTTGCAATAAACTTCTGCCTTGTTGAACACCTCTGGTCCGCAGCTTCATTCTTCATTCTTAGATTCTGTGAGACACAACAGGACCCCAGGAAGAATTCCTGCTCACCCATTCACTAACTCATTCATCTAACGCCTTAGAATGGGCATTTCTACCCATAGGAAAAAATCAGCCTGTAACATCTACCTGGCCCAAAGAACTTAAAATCAGCTTATGACATCACCAGACATCTCCTAAGTAATATATTTCTCTGCCCTATGTCCTTTTCTCTCTTCTCTCCACCTACTTCCATTCACTGAAGCTAAAGAGTGGGAGAGAAAGTGAGGAAGGAAGGGGAAAAGAAAATAAAAATTAGCTGAGCATATTATCTTCTCCTTACTAGACCAAAGGGAGAAACTACCAACAGGTGGACCTCCTACCTATAGAGAAAGGAGTTAAAATCTTCAATGAAGGTAAAAATATTGACTATTATATAGAGTGAGATTTTCACTTAATGAATTAATACTGAATTGATAACTTTGGAAGAAAAGCACCATGAAATTGTTGTTATCAGAGACTAACAGGAAATGTCTTGGGCCTCCCAAGGATCAGGATAAGAACACTGCCTCTCTGAATACATTTTATGGGAATGGAGGATAAAAATTAAACTGTGCTTTGATTACAAATGAATCACATCTGTTAAACATCTAAAGAAAACAATATTTATGATTTAAAAGACTTGGCCCTAAATGACTTCAAGGGGCCCCAGATTATTTTTTAATTCCCATGAAAAAGTTAGTCTTTTATATTTAAAAAAATTAAAATTAATCAAAATGTGACCAAAATTCTTTTTTTTTTAGATGAAAACATATATTGCAAAGGAGTCTTAGACTAATGTCCACCTTTTGTACAGGGGTCACTGCAAACCTTTTCAAAGTGTATTCAACTGACAAAATTATCAATAGTTACAGAATAATGCAGAAAGTCATTTGTTGAAAACAACACACATTCAGTGGCCCTGTCATTATTCCTTCATACTAGAACTTTTTCGCTGAATGAAAACCTCTGTAGGGGCCCTCAGCTTTACAAGTCAGTTAGATTACTGTAAATCACAGATCATCTCTTATTTACAATAGGCAGGCCAAAGCAGCTAAGTAAGTTTCTGAAGCCACAGTGTCCTTTGGTTCTCAGAATTCCATCTT